TTATCTTTATTTATACTGTATATACGAAATACCACTCCTGCATCCTCACAAAATCTCTACAAACGTGAAATTTGGCACCTATGTTCCTCTTGGCTTCTAGGTGCTCACTAAGAAAGGATTTTTCGAAATGACCATCAGAGCATTAGTATTTCGCATATTATTATTATTAACACGCTCTGATGCTAAGGAGTTCTACTCCCCCTCCCCACCTGAAAAGAAATCTGCTCCAAAGGGAAAACACAAGCAGAGGAGCGGAGTTTCAGTTTCAGTTGAGCACCAAGCAGCTTTAGTACAGAACAGTTGAGCTAAGCCCCGCCCAGGCTCCTTGCTGTCTTGCTCACACAGCAAATACTGTTTCAGTTTCCAAACAGCCCTCAACACTCACACACTGACAGGGTGCTAGCCAGATGAATACTGATGGATGCTGGGAGGCAGAGGCCTTGTTTTTCCTCCCCAAAAACTAAGCCAGACCACATAGTTTCATAGCGAAGCACGGAGATCAAGCTAGTATGCTATAAAATATAATTTTATAACATACTTCAACTCCCAGAATTCATGGCTGGCTGAGGAAGCTGTGGACTTCAACTCCCAGGATTCCTCAGCCAGCCATGAATTCTGGGAGTTGAAGTCCACAAGGTCTTCGGGTTGGCAGGTGGTAAGTCCACCCTGTCCTAGACTACGGTTTGCATTTGTTCCACCAGCGTCTCCATAGTTTAGGGCTCGTGGTGGGGTCCATAAAGCTGAGGAAGATGCAGGCCGTAACTAGAGGTGTTGAGAGCCTTCAACCAGGGACCACCCAAAGGGTTTCCAGTCACCAGCCCTCCCCAAAGTTTTCGTTTTTATTGATGTGGAGTGGAAGGTCTCACCCAGGTTGGGCCACCTCTCTCTTCTAGATTCACCAAGCTCCGTATCTTCTCAAGCAAGTTTTAGTTCCGTGGATTCAGAGTACCACTTCAAAGAGGTCGTGGGTTGGATGCGCACTTTCCTCCATGAGAAATCTCAGGTGAGATTCTCTTCTTCTACCTGGACTGTCCAAAGGAAGATTTTAAAAAGCTAATGCAATCCTAAATTGCATTAACAGAGGGATACAATCGAGATCAAGGGAGGTACTAATATAACTCTATAAAGCCTTAGTAAGGCCACACCTAGAGTACTGCATCCAGTTTTGTTCACCACATTACAAAAAAAGATGTTGAGACTCTAGAAAAAGTACAGAGAAGAGCAACCAGGATGATGAGGGGACTGGAGGCTAAAACATATGAAGAAGTTACAGGAACAGGGCCTGGCTAGTCTAGGGAAGAGAAGGACCAGGGGAGACAGGAGAGCAGCCTTCCAATATTTGAGGGGCTGCCATAGAGAGGAGGAAGGGGTTCAAGCTATTCTCCAAGGAACCCAAGGCCAGACAAGGAATCATGAATGGAAACTGAACAAGGAGAGATTCAACCTGGAAATAAGGAGAAATTTTCTGACAGTGGGAACAATCCACCCGTGGAACAGAAGTTGCCTTCAGAAGTTTTGGGAGCTTCATCCCTGGAGGCTTTCAAGAAGAGACTGGACTGCCATTTGTCAGAAATGGTGTAGGGTCTCCTGCTTGGGCGGGGGGTTGGACTAGATGACCTACAAGGGGGGTTGGACTAGGTGACCTTCCAACTCTGATTATCTGTTATCTGTTATCTAGTCTGCTATTATATTAATTTTATTTTCATTCAGGCCTTTGAATCTCCATCTTGTCAATTTTAAGATGCCTGGACTTCTGACTCCCAGAATTCCCCAGTCAGGGAAGGAAGGAAGGAAGGAACAAAGGGAGGGAAGGAGGGAGGGAAGAAACTTCAGTCACCTAGTTACTATCTTTGAAAACATTTATGGAATGCACTTTGGGTTTGCAAGCTGCCACCTTGCTCCTCCCACCCTTTCTGTTGGCAACTCTAAAAAGACCTCGGGAATATTTTATGAGTTGATACCATCAACCCCCCTCCTGTTTTTCTTGCCAAAATTGTATTTTTAACTTTTCTGGGGTGTGTGTGTGTTTGTCCTTAGGATGTACCAGAGAAGTCCAAGTTCCTGGAATGCGTGGACCTGGTCACCACCAATATGGACAGTGGGAAAGATGGCTTCCGAGACGAGTACTACAACGCCACGTTGCTGAGGGACATCCTCAGGGTGAGCGTCATTTTCCCGCACAAAGACCACCGGAAGCAGCATGAAAATAATTTTGGAAAAGGACCCTGCCTGAAGGAGGGGACCCCCCACAGCCCACCGCAGTCTAAGCAGGCTTGGCTAGAGATGCGCAGCCTCTGGTTGTGCAAGGAAAATGGCTGTGGGAATTAGATGAAATGGGCAGGGAAATTAGAGCGATGTTTGGCAGCGTGTCCCACAATTATAATTCATACCTGATTTGGGTTCAATGAAGTGTCCTTCCTTCCCCTCTTTCTTTCCTCTCGTTTCCTCCCTCCCTCCCTTTTTTCATTCGTACCTTTCTTCCTTCCGTTTTTCATTCTTCCTTCCTGTCTTTCTTTTTTCATTCTTTTCTTCCTTTCTTCTTTTTTCATGTTTACCTTCCTTCCTTTCTTCCTTTTTTCATTCTTATCTTCCTTTCTTCCTTTTTCATTTTTATCTTCCTTCCTTTCTTCCTTTTTTCATTCTTATCTTCCTTTTTTCATTCTTCTCTTCCTTTTTGATTCTTATTTTCCTTCCTTTTTTCGTTCTTTCCTTCCTTTCTTCCTTTTTTCATTCTTTTCTTCACTTTTATCTTCCTTCCTTCCTTTTCTAATTCTTATCTTCCTTTTTTCATTCTTATATTCCGTCCTTCCTTTTTAATTCTTATTTTCCTTCCTTCCTTCCTTTTTTATTCTTAACTTCCTTTCTTTTCACTATTACTTACTTACTTACTTCCTTTCATCCATTCATCCATCCATCCTTCCTTTTTTCATTCTTATTTCTCTCTCCCTCCTTTCTTCCTACCTACCTACCTTCCTTTTCTCATTCTTATCTTCCTTCCCTTTCATTCTTAACTTCCTTCCATCCTTCCTTCCTTTATGCCTATTTACCTTTCTTTCTTATCTTTCTCCCTCCCTCCCTTCTTTTCTTTCCTTTCCTCCCTCTCTCCTTCCCTTTCTCATTCTTATCTTCCTCCCTTCCCCCCAGTTCCTTTCCCCAGGAATGACCTCCCCAAATCCTGAGGAACGAGAACAAACGTTGTCCCGGATTGCCAAGATCATCAGCTGCATCATCAACCATTGCCTCAACAGGGAAGTGAGTCGTTTTTTCCAGACTTTTGCTAAATCTCAGAACCCTGATTTCAGCATTTTTGGGGAAAGCAAAGGGGCACAGCTAGATCTCAACTCCCAGAATTCCCCATCCATCATGCCCGACCTTCAACTCCCAGAATTCCCCACCCACCATGCAGGGCCTTCAACTCCCAGAATTCCCCAGCCAGGATTTGTGGACTTCAACTCCCAGAATTCCCCAGCCAC